CCGAAACCCAAGGTGTTATGCGAGCCGTGCCAAAGGATGAATGGCCATGCGACAGTTGGTCGAGGACGGAGCCTTCGGGAATAAGGCGGCCTCCCGAAGTAACCAGCCTTGGCGGGGTAAGAGCGCACTGCCCAGCTGGACTCTGATTTCGACCCGACTCGTGGAAACGAATATGAGTGGAGATAATGAAACAAATAAAACAGTTGATGTCAAAAAAACACAAAGAAATATACAGGGTGTTTCCTAACTACGGTTCCTAATTGCAGGGGGTGATTTGTTAGGTCATTTCGAAAAAAAAAGATCCTATGAATATATGTCCGGAGTTACTTCGTTTCTGAGATACAGGGAGTTGAAATTAAAGAAAACAAACGGTAATTATAAAATATCATGACTATTCTGCCCTCATAAGAAGAATCCGCGTATATTACAATTTTGGGTATTCTGAGATTCTGGCTCCTGATGAAATAATATAACAAATATGACCTGTTCCAATCATCAAAACCACTTATTTCAACAGGAAACATTTATTTCGGGCATTTCATCGTCCACTTATTTGTACGAAAATATGCTCTTCGCTAGATTGAATCCACGTATAATGGTGTTACTAAGAAACAACTACGCATAATTGAGGAATATACGTGATTCTTTCTTAGTAGCGCGTGATATACGTGGTTTTCATCTCGTGAGTGTGTACGTTAGGTCAAAATCACCAATTGTTCAGTGAATAGTGTTTTGTTCATAATGATAAGTTGAGTTTTCATTTTCAATTGGAAGAAATGAAGTTGAGTGTGAGTTTGTTCCTCAATAAGGATATATTTTCTTCAGATATAGAGACTACTATATCGGCGGTACCGGTAGATTATATTCAGCAAGAAGTCGGAGGACTCGAATCTACAAGTACTGAAACTCTTATTCCAGAAGAGGTTGTTGATATCAATTCTGTTCCAGGAATATTTTTGATGCAAAATGATGCTGAAGGAACAAATATCGAAAATATCGAGTGTGCTGTTCTGGGCGAGACAGGCGTTGCACATTCCCTTCAAAAAAATGATAGACAAGTCGAACTCTAAGGATATATCACAAATATATTTATCAATGGATCGAATGAAGCAGCCAATACAAACTCATTCCAAATATTGAAAATGAATGATCCAGTGAAGACAAATAGTGGCACTGGTGTGATAAACGAGACATCTATCGAAAATTCTATTCAAGTAATTGGGAGACAAAGGGATGCAGAAGAATCTGATTTAACAAACATTGGTATTGATATCAACAATGGAATAGCTATCTCACCTACCAATGAATTTGCTGAGAGAAATGCTCAAGTTGAAACACTTGAACCTACAGATAGTGGGGATGAGGCACTATCCAATTTTGTTTTTCTCCGGAGCACTCATACTGGTGAAATGACAAAACGTGGAACAGTACGTAAAAGGAAACTTCACTCAGTGTCCATTCATTATTCAAAATTTTCTCTTCGCGTTTCAATAAAATAAAAATTTGAATATTATTTCAATATACGTGTTGTAAGGACAAGCTAGTGAATTTTTCTTTTATAGGCTCTCTGATAGAAAAATTCTTTAAACGTAGTGACATTTTGGAGCGAATCATCTGATTTGTCCTTACTACACGTATAATGAAATAATATTCATATTTTTATTTTATAGAAACGAGGAGAGAAAATCCCAAAAAATTTGGAATAATGAATGTACCACCTCCTCGATTAACCTACAGACAATATTGCACTCAGTGTCTCTGATAGATAGAAAAAAACAAAAAAAAGAGTTCACATCAAAAAATATGCTGAACGTCCTACGTGTGTAACTTCCTGTTCGAAGAAATGCATCAAAAAAAAACCGATGAGGAAAGGAGAAAGCAGATCAATGAACATTATTGGAGTTTGGCTCGAGATGCCGACAATTTGAAGAAACAATAATTATGTTCAAATGTTCAAACTTGGTTATATTTTTAGAGTGTTTATAAAACAACCCAACTAGCATTTATAGTCGCGATTACGTAATTACGACTATTGGGTCGACTATTAAGTAATATTTACTAGTTGCGGTTACGTTATAATTACGTCGTTACTACGTATTTACGACCAAAATGGGGAACAAATCACGAGTAATTATTACGGTTTGCCGACGTAGCGGGAACTCACACAATTACGTAATGCTTACGACCCGTCGACGTCGAAATTACGTGAAGATGTAGTAAATTTTCCTACCTGACTTTCTATTTCTTTTCCACTTCATAAAAATATTATTTTCTCTCTTTATTATTCTTCATTTCATCCATGAAGTTCACATTCACGAAAAATGAACAAGTCCAATATGCCTAACCATTCAATAAATAATACAAGGACAAACACGCGAAATAATTGATACTCGAACTTGAAAAATTCGAACAACATTCAGTTTTTCGATAAATGTGATGATTTTGCCTCGAAATTCAAGATGCGACCACAAAAAACTCATTTCACCAAAAATATGGTTTTATTTCATTCGGCTATTTTTCAAAAATCATCGTAAATCATGTTAATTTCCATTATTATGCAATTTGTGATCGAACGAATGCTATTATTCTTCATAAAATGATGTTTATTAACAAGAAAAACCAAAATTATTTCCTGTTCAAATGGTTATCACATCAATCAATATGGCTTCCAATCGAAAATGAATCAGAAAGTTACTTTTGGAACTCGTCAGTTATGATAACCTATGTATTGGTAACTTCAACTGAATATAATTACCGAAAAGTTGTTTCAACTATGAAGGAATTGTTTGAGTAGGAATTACCAATATGTTACTTGAAATATCACCAAGAATTGACTAAATTATTAGGTGATCGATCAAGTAACGACAACGTCGTGGAAACCTAATTGGTGACCATAGAGTAATTGCAACTGTGAAGCCTTCTTGGGGTGGTAAGCGTTACCGTAATAATATATCCAAAGTTCCGAAACCTTAAGAGTAGTTTTGAGGAGTGACAGTTTCGAAATAGTTACTTCGTAATAAGCCATGAGAATTTCTCACTTTGAAGTTATTATCTAGTGTAAAAACTACGTAATTTTCACTCACTAAATAACTATCACTGACATTCATACTATGAAGTTCTGAAATAAGTGATAAATACGTTATTACCACTAAATATAGGTAATAGTTTCTTGAACCATGGTGCCTGGGACTGAAAATGCTAGTTGGGAAGCTTATTCATTTTATTTATGATTTGCGTTCTCTTCATCTGATCTCTCAATGAAACTATAATAATGATTTCAATCAAATCTTTCATTTATACCTTCTACAGGGTGTTTCACAGAATTGGGGAAATAAATGGAATGGATGATTGAGGAATAAAAAACAGAACGAAATTAAGGAATACATTTTTGTCGAGAAAAAAATATTTTGGAAGATATTGAGATTCAAAGTTTGCCTGAAACTTTTGTAAATCATTGATCAGAGGTTGAAAGCCCAACCAAAGCGTTTGCTTTCGGCGAGATCTCAAGCACCGGAAGTATCAAAAAATTTTGGACACACCTCGTTTTATTCATTGCCTCGATTATGGAAACACTCTGTATACCAATGATGGAGTGAACTAGTTAAATCATACGTATTTTACATTCGCATATCACATTTGCTAAGCTAAAACCAATTAAATACGCATTTTGAGTGTTTTTCACTTAGTACTCATAGATAATTGTTTCTTGCTTAGTATTGACCAGTCCTTGTAGAGCTCAATACGGCGTATTTGCATCAAAACCGTCGAAAAACAAAAATCTTGTCGCTTTGGTATAACAAAGGCATTGTATCATCAGGAAATATTTCTACTGAAGCGAATGACACCAATAGAATTTATATACTTGCCTAATGTGACGTTTTGAGGAGATTCGTACATTCAAATGCGATTTGCTCGGTTTCGACAATATGTTATATACGTGGGTCTTTCTTATGACGGCAGTATTCTGAAATCGATTTGATTGAAATTTGGTACTTTTATTTGTAAAATTTTCTGAAATTCCAGCATATCAAGTGTCAATAAGATTTTTTGAAGGAAATGATGAAAAACTCATCTCCAATGCAGGTGTTCATGATATGCAATACAGTGGCTTTGATTTTCTTTTTTGAAAACGAAGCTGGACATGAAGAAAATGCAGGAGACCAAAAAGTTGTATTTTGAGTTGCTCAATCTCAACAAAATGAAAATGTACCGAAAAAGTCAGTGGTGTACTTTTTTTTCACAATATTGTTGGCTGTGGTGCCCACTGAGACGCCACTGGCCCCGATAATTTCAATCTAAATAGGGCTAAATGAGCGCCTTATTGAGTCAAAAGAAATTTCAACCAAATCGGTTCTAGGATATTCATGATATTTTATAATTATCGTTTTTTTCTTTAATGTCAGCGCCCTGTATCTCAGAAACGAAGGACATATGTTAATAGGAACTTTTCTTCCTCAAATGACCTAACGAATCACCACCTGCAGTTAGGAACCGTAGTAGGGAAACACCCTGTATATCAGATGTTGATAGAGGAAGGAAAAGAAGACGAAAAAGTAGAAGAAACTGCAAGTGGAAGTGGCAGCGGCCAGATGGAGAATACCCATTATGAATGGAGAGGAGACGAGAACCAGACAATCAGGAGGTCATCGATCCAGAGGACACCACCGGCAAAAATAAGGAACGCATCGGAAGAGGATATGGAAGAGTACAAAACTCCTCTGAGGGGAGACGAGGGAGAAACATCCGACGGGTTCCAAGACGAGGATATCGGCAGTAGCCCGATTTATAAACTAGGTGGATATGAGAGGAATACGGAAAAAAATGGGACGATCGACCTCACGCTGAAAAGCCAGGACATAGAGAAGGATACAGAAGGCAATAGCGAATAGGTAGAAACGAGGGAGAGGGAAGAAAGGAAATAAGGAAGAGGAAAGAGTCCCTACTACACAACACCGGCGAAGACTAGGGGACGGAAACGATTGAGGTGGACGCCAAGGACTTTAGACAATTACTGCAAAACCTGAGAAAAGGCAGTGAAGAATTGAGGACATTGGTTGGAAGTAACCCAAACACCCAGAAGGGGATTAGAAAAAAAGGGAGGACATGAGGAACTTGGTGGAAAGCTTGGAAAGAAGATGAGAGGAGTAGGAGGACATCACCATCGAAACCAGCTGAGAGCGATGCGAAAAGGAGAGGCCACAAACTTCAAACTTTGGGACGC